GCGTCACCCGGACTTCCTCTCTCTTCCGCGTGGGTCCTGCGTTCCAGCTCCCTCCAACCAGAGCTCGCCACGTGTCCCACTGTTCCCCCACGTACGCGCGTTTTGCGCGCACTCTCCCTCTCCGCGCGAGTTTCTCTTCCGCGCGCGTCCAGCTCTCCTCCGCGTGGGCCCAGCCAGTACAGCACGTCTTCCCGCGCGCGAATCCGCTTGCGCCACGTGTCCCACCTCGTCAGTCCTCCTGCAACACGTTTTTACATTTTTTTTTAACATATCCAAAACTCTATAAATAGGATCATTATCAAGGTGATTAGGGAGTTGATTAATTTTGAGAATCTAAATTCTCACACATTTTCTCTTATTTTCTTGTTCTTATTCTCATACTTTCTTTTTTAGAATTTTATGAGAATTATGTGCAAGCTAGGCTAGAGTATTTAGGTGAGGCTAGAGATGATCTTATATGTGTAGTGAACTTATTTGGATTTTTGATTCTCCATTGGTTTGTAAGTTTTATACATTTGAGTAAGTAATTTTCTTTTATCATATTTCTTCTTCTTATCAATATATTTTATTGTCAACTCTCATATAAATCTAGTCAAGCTCTTTTTATGTGATTGTTGCATTATATGATATATTGATCGGTATTATTTTATGAGTAGTCTTTTACTGCATTATTGCCAACGGTATATTGTCGCTCTTGGATTTCTCATAAGATAATTTTTCCTAATTCTAAACGTTAGAATTTTATTTACTCGAATACATTTTTAATTCATATGTTCTTCAAATATTTATTTTCCGATTGATTGTTTGGGATGTGAAACTTTCAATTGAGTCAATTTATGAATCAAAATCCAAATGGGTGAACAAAGCATATGGAGGATTCTCAAAGCCTTACCACTTTTATTTATTGAATTTTCTCCATTTTAAATTGTTCATATAATCATCAAAAACACTCATTCTTTTTCTTTGTTTGATTGCTTACTTTCCTAACGCTTTTTATTTGCTAATCATTTCTTGTTCAATTTAACACTTCCTTATGGGATCGACCGTTCAAATTGTACTACAATTGACCGCTTATTTTTGTACACGTTTGGGCGTAATCAATATGTTAAGATTATGATTTATGATATGGTATGATTATGGTTATGGTATGTTAAGATTAAGACTTATGATTATGATTATGGTATGTTAAGATTATGATTTATGATATCTTATAATTATGATTATGATACGTTAAGATTATGATTCTCATACGTTTGAATATGAGTTATGACAAAGTAATAGTCAACTAATAACATGAATATTTAATATGATGAGTGAATATTTGAGTATAATACACTCCTCTATGAAACATGTTAGGAGTTAATACGAAGCATGTCATATTATGATTACTTATCGGTTGGTAAGAATTATGAATTATTTCACTATGTATATTGAGAAAAATTATGAGTACTTGAATTAGGTATTCAAATTAATATCGCTTATGTCTACATTTATGTTCATGTCTCTTTTTACAAAGAAATTATTGTGTTGCATTGCATCCATATTTAGAGTAGCTAGTTTACTTGTTTACTAAGCTTCCTAGTTAACTAGGATTTCTTGTGTTGCAGGAAAAAGAAAAGAAAATTGTTAAGATAAAAGCTCAGTGATCGGGGAAGCAGATTGAAGTGAACGTGCATATGAGGATAAGACTTGAAGCGTCAAACTTTGATATTAATTTTTTAGAGTTAGTCTTATGGCTTCAATATGATTTTCGTAAAGTTATGTTTTTAATTAAAGAGCCCCTTTTAAGCACCTTTCTCTTTTCAAATTTTAGAACTTTCATGTTTTGATTAAGAATTTGTAAGCCTTTAAAAGTATAAATATTCCGTATTGTTATGACTATGTTATATATATATATGTGTGTGTGTGTGTGTGTAAAAAAAAAAAAAAAAAGATCCATAAATATAGTATGATATGTATGTAAATGTGTCATGTTTTTTCATGATGATTTATCGTCGGCCTAACATAGTAGGTGATTAGCGGCGGATTGTGACAAATAGATAGTGATCATCATTCATCATAGATTTATAAATATAATATATCTCTTATACAGAAACAATGAACATCTGACACACATATATACACATATTAGTGCTACTCTTTCATAATACAGTAAAATTCCAAGTAGAATTAAGTTAGATATTCTCCATCTATTTCATGGCTTTCTTTTATAAAAGAAGAGAACGAGATAATAATGTTCTTTTTTTTTTTGAAAAAAAAATGATATAATAAAATTTGTCGAGAGAGGAAGAGAGATTTTGCCACCCTTACGTCTTTAGTATCATGCAATTTTGTTTTGAGAATTCTGCACTAATAAAGTGATGACTGAAATGTTTAGTATTTAATCTTGGGAAAATTTCAAATTTAACCATTATTTTTCTAAATTTATTATTTTTGCCAATACAAAAATACAATTATATTACTTTATTGATGGCAGTTTTAAAAATTCTCTTTAATCTTTATGCTCCTCTAATGAGGTGACATTCATGTAGATATTATGTGAAATAGGCCTAGCATCACACGTTAAGTCTAGTTTTTTTTGTTTTTTTCTTTTTCTAAAGTCTAAACTCGTGAAGTCTAGTTATCCACTCATACAATTTTGATGTATAACTTGCTCAAATCTTTCCACAAAAGGGTTATATTCGGAAATTCCTTGCCAAAAAGCAGTGCTCCTATTATTCACCCCTAATTTTCAGTAATTTCCCACTTTCTAATGTCATTCCATGCTGTAACTCGAGCATGTGGGCTTTGATCCCATTTTCCGTCCAACTGGGCCGTTGGGCTTAACTTGGTAATCTTGACAAATATGTGCAGAATTTTTACTTTTTATTTTTAATTCATAAATTTTTTAATTAAATAATGACACGAATAAAAAAATTCATAATTTTTTTAATTAAATAATTAAATTAATAAAAAAATAAATATTAAAAATAAAAAATAAATATTTAAACTCGTATACTCTTAAGTTAAATTCTCTCCAACAGATCATAGCGCACCCAACAAATGACAAAAATGAAAATAAAGGCAGAGAGAGGGCATATGGGTAACTTTGGAGAGCAGAATTGAGATTGACAGAGCATTTTCAAAACAGCCTGTCTTTGCGGGTGGCCCCCAAAAATCAGAGGGGCCACGTGGCAAGCAGATCGGGTACAAGGAAGTTGGAGGAGAGAGAGAGAGAACAGTGTGGTTTAAAATCGAATTTCATTTGGGTTTTGACGCACATTTCGACGTGGTTTCCGTTTTCATTTCATCTATTTTTTGAACCAAAGGGCGGGCACCTCTCATTACAACAGAGATTGGAAGAAGCTCCCTTTTCTTCTCTCCCTCTCTCCATCTCTCTCTCTCCTCGACGTTCGTCTTCAGAGCATTTCTCTATCTCTCCAAGGTGACTTTTCCTCGTGAAAGCATTCTCTGTATCGTCTTTCGTTTAGGGACGTATGAAAGAGAAATTTGTGTGAATATGATCCGTTCACTCGTTACAGTGTTTTTTCTTAAAAAAACACATTAGAATGGTTATGAATTATAGTTGTGAATTCATGAACTGTCCCCTAAGCTTTTGAGAAAATGGCGGTTTCTTAGGGATCTAAATCTTGATTGTTAATCGTCTCGTCTTTTACTTGAGCTACCACGGATCTTAATTTTCTCTGAATTTTTTATGTTTTTTTTTTTTTGAGAATTTTTATCTTGGTGTTTGGATCTATGGAAAAAGTTGGATTTTCTGTAGTCATGTGGATGAGTTTTGAATGGCCGATCGTTTGATGCGGATCGGCCACATTGTGTTCGGACTTTAATGAATTTGATAAAATCTGTCCTTATTGGATGTAATGCGATCATTATTGTTTGAAATTTGAGCTAGGATTTGGATTTGGACGGATTCGATTGATTGTTTGATTACGTAATTCGTGACATATTAGATTTTCTGTTTCAATTTTCTACGATTTTTTTTTTTTTGGAGAAACTTTCTATGAATTGTTTGATTGCGTAATTCGTGACATGTATTTCTTCGCCAAGATAATTCGTGTTTATATCTCTGATTACGGAATTCTGAGGCATTTTTCTTTGCCACATAATCCATTTTTGTGTCCCCAACTGTCTTTGATGTCATATTATTGAACAATGTAGATCAATTGGACTTAGGATCTTGAAGCTGATTGTGCTGTGAAATTTCAAAATAAATGATTTTTATTTATCAATTTATTATTAAAAAATGAAATGCCTTTGGTGAAAATATTTTATATGATATGTTGCAATGTACTTTTGAATTCGTTTATTTTTCTTCCCAGAAATGAGAATATTTCCAGCCAATTATTTCAATGTTACTTGTATTGAATGGGGATTATTACTGTTTGCTCGATTAGGTAGTTTTAACCAATGATTCTAGCAGTGTCTTTTAGCATGTAGAATAAATCATGGTCTATCTTATGTTTTAATAATTCATGGTGAGTTTCTTTTCATATTTCTGCTATAAATTATTTTAATTTGATAGGTTTCTGCAGGTATTAGAAGATGGCTGACGCTGAGGATATTCAACCACTTGTCTGCGACAATGGGACTGGAATGGTCAAGGTACAATATTGAGATATTTTTTTCTTTCACATTATGCTGACAAAAATGTAAAGCCTTTTATGACTTCTCTTTGAATATGTGTGCCATGTCAGTATTGAATTGTTAATGATGCATTGTGATTTTGTGGTATTCTGAACTCTTTAGGCTGGATTTGCTGGAGACGATGCTCCAAGGGCTGTGTTTCCTAGCATTGTCGGTCGACCTCGTCATACTGGTGTGATGGTTGGGATGGGGCAAAAAGATGCATACGTTGGGGATGAGGCTCAGTCCAAGCGTGGTATATTAACTCTGAAATACCCAATTGAGCATGGTATTGTCAGCAACTGGGATGATATGGAGAAGATTTGGCATCACACCTTCTACAATGAATTGCGTGTGGCCCCAGAAGAACACCCAGTTCTACTCACAGAAGCACCTCTCAACCCAAAAGCTAATCGTGAGAAAATGACTCAAATCATGTTTGAGACCTTCAACACTCCTGCAATGTATGTGGCTATACAGGCTGTTTTGTCCCTTTATGCTAGTGGTCGCACAACTGGTAAGCAATCTTACTAATTTAATTTATCTTAGAGATTTGAGTGTGGATCAGCCAATCTAGAATCAGTATATAGAGTTCAACTTCGACTGAGCAAAAATAAAAATATGGAATTTGTTTGAAGATAGTATTATCATTTATAAGAGCATAGGTTAGATATTGGAGATGTTACTGAACTGGTATCAAGATGAGGTGTATCTGTGCCTCGGAGTAATTAAAGATTCTCTATTGGTCTTTAAATGTCTATCTCTTTGAATGATATCTACAAGTTTCATTTGATAGGTTGGATACACTTCTCTCGGTATTTATATAGTCATTCTTTTAGGATGTTCATCCCAGTGCAGCACAAATAGATGTTTTTGAACTTGTATGTCAATAACCACTATATATGTGTCTATATATATATCCCTTCTAGTCGTGGTACATGCATAGAAGACAGTAATACTGTAGTAGTATTGGGGTGGTTATTCTTCTAGCAGAATGCGTATCGCTTTCATCTATTTAATTTCTCAAATTTTGTATAGGTATTGTTCTGGACTCTGGAGATGGTGTCAGTCACACCGTTCCCATATATGAGGGGTATGCCCTCCCACATGCCATCCTTCGACTTGACTTGGCAGGACGTGATTTGACCGATGCACTCATGAAAATCCTAACTGAGCGTGGCTACTCTTTCACAACCACAGCCGAGCGCGAAATTGTGAGAGACATGAAGGAAAAGTTGGCATATATTGCCCTAGATTATGAGCAAGAGCTTGAAACTGCCAAGACAAGCTCTGCTGTTGAGAAAAGCTACGAGTTGCCTGATGGTCAGGTCATCACCATTGGTGCTGAACGTTTCCGTTGCCCAGAGGTCCTCTTCCAGCCTTCCATGATTGGAATGGAAGCTGCAGGAATTCATGAGACCACATACAACTCTATCATGAAGTGCGATGTCGACATTAGGAAGGATCTATATGGAAACATTGTCCTTAGTGGTGGATCTACCATGTTCCCGGGCATAGCTGACAGAATGAGCAAGGAAATCACTGCTTTGGCTCCTAGCAGCATGAAAATCAAAGTGGTTGCTCCACCTGAGAGAAAATACAGTGTCTGGATCGGTGGCTCCATTCTTGCATCTCTAAGCACTTTCCAGCAGGTGCGTTAATTAATAATACATGGGACTTGCGATAATGATAAAAGGCCGTTAAAATCTTGTTAACTTGTAGGTTCGATATGTTTTTTAATTAGAATGCACGTCACTTTGAAATATTAGATTGTGGCAATGACCTTTTACCTTTTAGTTATGGCTTCATTAGCTCCTTTTTTAGATTAATTACAAGGTCTGTTTAGGCTCATCTTTCTTCCAACATTTTTATGGGTGTTATCATTTTGTGGATTCTCTTATTATATATTATAACTCATAACAAAAGTTGACAATTATATGCAGTCACTTATCATGTCAAAATTGAGGATGTACTTCATTTTTGGAAATATTAATTGAGTTTATTGTGGTGTATGTGGAAAACAGATGTGGATCGCAAAGGCAGAGTACGACGAGTCTGGCCCATCAATTGTGCACAGGAAGTGCTTCTAATTATGTTGGCTTGGAGCATTGGAAGTGTAATGTCCCATTTCTCGGATATGGTCCCAAATTTTCGTGTCTTATGTTGTTTAAATATTGAACCAAGTTCATGGCAAAGAGATTTAACTCTTTTATTATTGTTATTACCCATTTATCGTTGTTTATATTCGTTCCTGTCTCTAGTTGCCTTGCCTTCATATAGCAAATATGAATTGTTATGGTTTAATGTCTTCACATTAAGGAATCACATTGCTAGGCTTTTTTTGTGTTTTGGGAAACCCAATTATAGTTTGGAGACACCTAAGTCACTTTTCCCCAAGACTTTGGATTGGCACCAGATCACATGCAGTCCGTCTCGGCAAAGAGTACTCTTATTTATCCCATCAAAGTTAAAACACTGCTATTTACACAAATGAATCTCGTTAGGTGAGTAGGTGTAACATTTTAAGAAATTAAACATAATTAATTAAGATAATTGAGATTTATTAGTGTGTCTAATCTGATTTAAATAATTAATTAATTTTATTAAATGTTTTTGGTATTTAAGTTTAAATATTTTCAAGGAATTTAAACATTTTCAGTATTTATATTTGTTATCTTAGGAGTGTGTGTAAACACATTTTCTAATCTATTTTTCTAAATATCTTTGATGTTTATCTTTTTTCTTTTTCTTTTTCTTTTCTTTCTTTTTCTTTTCTTTCCTGTGCACACTCTCTCTCTCTGTCGTTTCCCTCCCACTCTCCCTCTCTCTCTCGTTTCTCTCATTCTCTCCTATAGCTCTCTCTCTTACTCTCTTAAAAATTTGTCAAATCTTCCGAATCTTAAACTAAAGAAGAACTCAAGGAGTTTTCAACGTCAAGAGAAAAATTTAGGGTAAGATTTTTGAAAAACTTCTCCTGAATTTCAAATTTTTCCGTTAGAAAAATCTATTCTTAGTTTAAAGTGGATTTTGATGGATTTTGGGTAAAATCGTGGTGAAAATTGGGAAAAATTAGTTCTTTGAACTGGATTTGTCATTTGAAACTTGGATTAGTGTTGGAACTTTGGGCCGGCGGGCAGGCCCGAGGCTCGAATTTTTTGGGCTCGGCGGGCAGGCCCAATCGCCGGCCCGTCCAAAGTTGTAAATTCGGGCTCGGGCATCCCGAAAATGGTCACCACGCCGGAGCCCGCCGCCGTGTAGGCGCCGTCAACCGCCGTCCGCCGGAGTTTGTTTTGAATTTTTCTGGCCAAGCTCGATTTGCCTGAATGCCCGAATCGCCCGACTGCCCGAGAAACGGTCAAAATTTCAACCATTGGTCCCCGACCTAAAAATAAGCTTGAAAACCCAAATTTTGCCCGAATGCCCGAACTGGCCGAATGCTCGAAAACTTGTCCAACGGCTAGTTTTTTTATCGTTGCCGTCTGAACCCGACCCGCCGAAACCCTAAAGTAGCCGTTGCACCCGATTTTTAAAAAAAAATTAATTTTTTAACCCAAAAATTTCCCTATAAGTACCCCTCATCTCCCACACATTTTTCTCACTCGAACTCTCTCAATCCCTCTCAATTTCTCTCAATCTCTCTCAATCTCTCAAATCTCTCTCACAATTTTTCCAAAAGACTATCACATTATCCTAAAGCTCTCTCTCTCAAATCGCTCTTAGTTTTTTATAATGGATCCTTTTGGTTATAGTGGTATTCCCGTTGATGCCCAACACAACGTGGAAGAATGGCAATTTCCCACTAATGAATTTGTTACGCAGGAATATACTAATCCAAGCCCTAGTGGACGTACTGGAGGTCATGGTCGCAATGGTGGTGCGCGTGGAGAAGCGACGAGTGCCAGTGCGACTGTGTCTGCGTCTGCAAGTGTTGCAACCTCTAGGAGGAAATGCAAGCGCATCTTGACAGTTTGGGATCACTTCGACACAATTGAGGAGATCGACAATGAAGGTAACACTAAACATATAACTCAATGTAAATATTGATTATCTAAATTACAAGGTGATACTATTCACGGCACCACACACTTTAGAAGACACTCCGAAAAGTGTCTTCAAAAGCTTAGCCAATTCGGCAGATCTGAACTCCGCCAAACACATATCTTTTGATCACGCAACCGGTGGTCTAACCACTTGGAAATACGATCCGCAAGTAGATCGTATGGAAGTTTCACGAATGATAGCTGCTTTAGATAAACCACTTAGTTTTGTAGAGCATCCTAATTGGCAACGATATATTAAGATTGTACATAATCATAATGCACAGTTCACTTCAAAAACTACTCTTATGAAAGATTTATTAAAATTATTTAAAAAAAGAAAAAAATCATTAATAAACCTTTTACACTCGACTAGCGGGTGCGTTGCGTTAATGGCAGATATTTGGTATGCCGTTGCCAATAAAGATTATTTAGCTGTAACCGAACATTACTTTAAAGGATTTGATTTAGATAAGAGAATATTAGGTTTTAAATATGTTCTAGGATCACATAGCGCGGATTTAATATATAATATCATTTTAAATGTAATTGATGAATTTAGATTAAGAGATAAAGTAATGGCTATAACATTAGATTATGATAGTGCCAATACAAAAGTAATTGAGTTCTTTAAAAATGATTTAAGTTTATTCGGTGACAGTACTATTTTCCACCAACGTTGTGCATATCACGTAATTAATTTAATTGTTAAATCCGGTTTAAAAGAAATGGGTAATCACATTAAAAGAATTAGAGATAGTTTTGCATGGATTCAAGGTAGTAACCAAAGACAAGAAGATTGGTTTAAGTTCTTACAAGCATTAAATATACCTCCTAAAGCATTAGCGTTAGATATGCCTATAAGATGGAACTCAACTTACTTAATGCTTCAACAATGCATCCCCTATAAGGATGTTATAACAAACTATATGTGTGCAAAAGTAGGAGTAGGACATATAGACGCATATGATTAGCAAATTGCCGAAGTTTTGTATCAATTTTTAGGTAGGTTTCATGAAATTACTCTAAAACTTAGTGGGACATATTACCCAACATCACATTTAGCTTTAGGTGAACTTTTACGAATTAGTATTTTATTTAGCAAATATAGGGATGACCTAATCTTAGGAGTTCCTATCTATTATATAGAAAAGAAATTTATAAAATATTGGTCTAAGTTGCCTTTATTGTATGATTTAGGTACTATTTTTTATCCTAGATTAAAATTAGAAGGTTTAGAAAGTGGTTTAGAAAACTTAAGTGAATTTTTAGGCGTCAATTGTTTGGACCAATGTCCAATAATAAAGGAAAAAATATATTCGATCTATAGTAAATATGAGATTAGGTTTAGAAGCACAAACTCTAGAGTACAGAAACCGCAACAATAAGACAAAAACTCGCATTCATTCTTGAATATTTTCGGGTTGAAGAAGAAGAATAAGACAACTCAAACAGAAGCTGGGAGTAGATCTTCATCAACAAGTGGCAGTAGCAGCGGCGGCGGCAGCTTCAATGAGCTTATGCCGTACCTCAGTGAATGCTTAGTAGTCGACGGTACTAGAGAATCGTTTGACTTAGTTCAATGGTGGAGGGCACGGGCATTAACTTGGCCAATCCTAACTCGATTGGCAATGGATATATTTTCAATCCCAGTCTCCACTATTTCATCCGAACAAGCCTTCAGTACGACAAGAAGAATATATGAGAAAAAAAATGCATTGCAAAGGGACATTGTTGAAGCCTTGGTCTGTATTAAGGATTGGGATCGGGCCAATCAACGTCTACAGGATACAATTTCACCGGCAAGCCAAGAATGGATCGATGAATTTAATCGATTAACTTTTAATTTTGAAGACGATCCTTCAGCTTCAAATTAAATTGTAAATTTGTAATTTGTAAATATGTATTTACTTTTGACATTGTAATTGTATAACTTTGTAAGTTTGTAAAATTTGTAACTCGTCATAAAATGATTGCACTCTTTTTTCCTTGCCAAGTTTTTATCTTAATTGGGTTTTTCTTAGTAAGGTTTTTAACGAGGCAATCATGAATTACGAATTTAATATACATCATTAATATACATGATTAATTTATTATATTATGTTAATAATGTCTGTTGAATGTTGATTTTAATTTTTATAGAATTTTAACACAAAATAACTTAATAATTATAAAAATTAAAAAATATTATAAAAAATTTAGGCTATTCAGGCGGGCTCAAGCGACCAGGCTGGGTTCGAGCAGCCAAATATAAGCCCGCAACCCATTCAAGGGCATTTTCAAGCTCGGGCGGGTCAGGTCGGGCTTCGAGCAAAAAATCAGTATTTTCAGGCAATCGCAGGCAGCCCATCCAAAGTTCCAACACTAACCTGGATTTAGTAATTTTCCTTTCAAATATCTCGGATTAAACTCAGATTTGCAGGTTTTTGAGCTGATTCGGTAAGTTTTCTCACCCTGCAGATCCTCACCGGTCAGCACACTACTAGTCGACCGGTGGTGATACATCTGTTTGTCACCGGTCGGCCGGTTGACAGAGGAAAAGAGGCATAATTTTCTTAAATGTTGTTTTGACCTCGATTTTTAAAGAGAACCCAAATTAGCTTCATTTGGGGGCCTAAAGTAGATAGATTAGCATCTTTAATCCATGTCTTGAGATCAAAATCCTTGAAATGATGATTTGAAGGCTTCGAAGAAGCGAAAGCTAGGATAGTGCAACGCTAGCCACATGTTTGGTGCTTAAGAGGTATGATTTCTTGTCATTTTCTTTGACAGCCTATTTTAAAAAGTGTTGGCCTTACAAATGTTTTAAAGAAATGACACATTTGTGAAAGAAAAACATTTTAAAACAATAGCTTGATTTTAGCTATTGGAATTATAATGAACTATTTTAGAGTTTTAATGAATGATTTCTTAAGATAAGATATCTTCCGAACTGGTAAGCATGCTAATGGCCTAAATAGGATATGAAGATCGTATCCTTGGGGGTAGAACCTGAAACCCGAACCGGGCTACTACGGTGGTGATAAGGCTTGTGCTTGTGGTCGTGTAAGTTTATATTTCCTTTCAGAAAAATGATGTAAGGTTCTGGCTGTTGTATTGGAATTGAATATCTTTATTTATTTACTTATTCATTTATTTACTTGTTATAAAGTTTATTTCAAAATACATCCTACATGGCCTTCTGCTCATGTTTTCTTCTATTTCTATAA